ATGTTAGCCCCCTGCACGAGCCATTGTAAATTCCTGCATTCATCTAATGTAATGTTCAGCTTTCAAGCAATCAATGATCAAGTTTATTTCAATACATTTCAATTTCGTATTGTAAGCTTTCTTTAAATTGTGATCAAATTTACTTTCGTCCCGAAACGAACGAGGAAAGGCGGAAGGTAGTCTAGCGGAGCAGACTATTGCCGCACGGTGTCTCTTTCTGTGTTAAGAAGAAAGGTAACCCGTGAAACCTAGCCACGTATTGTCTATTGAAAAAATCCCCGAACATGTACAAGTAGCACAGTGGATTTGGGCTTTGAAGATGACACTTGGGCATTGGGTTTCACATTGCCGCATTCTTTCCATGAAATTGCAAGGCCCTTTTCTGTGGGCCCACAACCCCAATTTCCAATCAAACGAGTCAAACACTATCCACAGAAAGTCAACATGATCCACGGGTCTGATTGGATTAAAAATGAGACCCACATACTATTTCAATATCTTTGCATATGAGTTATAACACCATAGTGCAACACATCATTCTCAAATCAAACCAAACAAAAAGATCTTCCGTAGTTTGACAAATATGTCGCGGTTAGGGCAAATTTGTAATTCATTTCAGGGGCAAAACCGGAATACTAGTCAACTCCAAGTCGTACAATACAAAACTATAATTCTGCACAAATTATATACTACATCGCAACCACACGATAACAAAAAACCAACTCACTTTCATTGGGCCATTCAACAACTTATCAAATGATATACTTCCACGTTTCAAATTCATCCACAAAACGATTGTACTGTTAAACTTCCCTTCCTGCATTAGGATAGGTAACTTACATAATAAGGCTCGAAGGACTCTCTTTATTGGCTAATTTTTTCTTCCCTACAGTTCCTTTTCCTAATAGTACTATACTATATACTATCTCACTGTATATGTGTATATATATGTATATGCTTATTTAGGTAATGGAAGTCTGAATTTTATGATCGATAGTTCAATGGACGTTGAAATCGGAGATTTGGCTTCACAAGATTCTGTTTCGAACAAGCTAAAACAGAGTGAGGTATACACCTAACCCCACACCACCCACCGTCAAACAATTAATGTTCCTTTTTTGAAAGTTTTGATTTGTGGGTTTTTGATATCTGGACGGATTTTGATTTTGACATCTTGTGATCGATCGTTTTCTTGGTGATTGATTTTTCAATGTTTTTAAGGTCTGATTGTGAGTGTCGGATTTTAATTGTGTGTTTGTGGATTTGTTTATTTTTTTTGCATAGTTACGTACTTGAGATTCTGGGTTTTGCGCCAATGATGGAAAATTGAGAAATTAGTTGAAAATTAGTGAATTGGACAAATAATTGATCAAATAAGGTGGGGTTCTATATGAAAACACACTTGGAGAAAATACTGCATAGGGTTAATTCGTCTGCAAGTGTTTACTGAAAAAAAAAAAATTATATGTGTGTGTAACTACAAGGCTAATAATTGTGGTAACTGTTGATGTTTATGTAACTACATAACTTACTAGATTACAACAAAATAAAATCTGAAAATAGTGATTACGCTTACTCCTTATGACGATGTCTTTATCTTGCCTGAAAGATGGTGGGCTTATGAGGTCGTCAATCTTGGATTGAAGGCAGTAAAGTTGGAGACAAGGTTGTGGCATGGTGAGGGAGTTATCAATTTGATTGGAGGACAAAACATGAGAAAGTATGCAAATTGCCATTTTGATCTTTGTCGTGAATAAAATGAAAGTCAATGTCAACGCTTCGTGCGAGAGTGGAATATAGGATTGTAATAGAGATAAGTGGCACTAACATTGCACATTATATCATGAGGCGTTGTCATAGTGAAAGAACTCAGTGCACAAAATAAGGACAAGACATAAAAACTTGTAACGTTGTGGAAGCAACTGCACAATACCCGGCTTTAGTTAATCTTTTCATCGTTTCTGGGAGCTTTGGGACCTGGATTGCACCCAAGTCTAACCCTCCAAGGATTAAAAGACAAGCTAAAACTTAAAAAAAAAAAAATTCATTTTGGCTTTTTTGCATTTTTGTGGAGGATCTAAATTCCAATTTCTTGGAATGAGCATACCGCAGCATCAGAAGTTAGCTTTAAAATGATTGCTTTTTTACAATTTTACAGACAGCTGAGGGACTAATTATTTAATAATAACTAACTATCTTTCATTTATAGGCATATATAGAGCATGTTTGGCTAAGCTTAGAATCCAATTAAAATTGAAAATATAGTCGTTATTGGGTCTCACTCGTCTAATAAAAGTCAACAATAAAGGCTAGTTTTTCAATTTTAATCCGATTTTAATCTCTACCGACAACGCCCATAATATTTCATTACTAGAAGGGTGAGCCATTGCATGTAATATAATGTTTTGAAACTCGGCTGGCCTTTGAATTGGAAAAGGTAATGGGTCAAGGGTCCGAGGTACTATGATATCAAAGATATTCATAACAACATAGCTTGATATATCTCAAGGCTTAATCACTTCTTAACTTGCTTCCAGGTTTGGCAGTTAACTGTGCTACTTCTGCCCCTGACATGCCTCAATTTTTATTTATTTATTTATATTTTTTTTGTTTTGCTCATTTTCTCTCATTATGAAGTTTGTTCGCATGCGTACATGCATGCGTGCATGGTACTCCTTTTGGTGCTTATTCATTTTTCTCATGTAGTATTGTGATTGCTATGTGTTTCATCTATTTACTGCTGAGTGCTTTGGCCATTTCTTTTATTTCCTGGCCTTAATTTTCTCTCTGTCCCCCTTTCTAGGAGGCTATGGATAATGATATGGAGAATTCTACTAGTGTAGCTGGTTCGGCATCTGTATCTCTTAACTCGGACAATCTTAATGGTTCACATTCCGACATGTCATATGAGGAAGATGACAATGATGGTGAAGATGCAACTGATGATGACTGCAATATTTATGGTGATGGTGATGATGATGACTATATGTATGTTGAAGATGCTGTTGATGATTATTCGAGTTTGCAGGCACAATTTGATAATGTGGATTTGCCTACTGGGGTGGAGGCATCGGTTTCTTGGTTAAATGATCCTGCTCCAGGTTCAAATACTTCAACTCCTGCAAGTGTTCCAGTTGAAGGTGGCACGGTGAGTCTCCCTGCAAGTGCACCAGCACATGCTCCTTCGTTTCCGGCTTGCTGCAAAACCGAGGCCATTGCTTCAAGCAGTTCATCAGTTTCTGCAGAATCGAGCAGTAATGAGAAGGAAAAAGAGGAAAACAAAGTTGAAGTTATGAAGAAGTATCTAGATTTCAAACGATTTGACGTTGTTGATGATTGTTCTGATCATCACTATAACAAAACGGGCTTTGAAGGACGGCAGGTAGCTTCGCATTATAGAAAGCATGTCTTATGTTTTGTCTTTCTATTGAACATACCTGTAATTTTCACTTGCATGCATACTTGTATATGCTAATTTTGTAGCATATCTTATCTTGGCAGCCCCCCAAGGCATGGAGCAAGAAAATTCAGGATGAGTGGAAAATTCTAGAGAAGGACTTGCCTGGTAAGTGAGCTAGAAAACAACTTTTCAGCAGCGTATTACCATTCTTACCATTCCCTTTTCGTATTATTATCTGGTCATGCTCTTTGTGGGGAAATTAATTGCTTTAATGTTCTTATGTAGAGCCGGTTTGATGTACATCTTTTGAGAGTATATTAAGTGATTTTTTTGAGAATGTGTTGTTAAAAAGTAGAGAAAACTTATGGGTCCACGTGTAAAAATTATAATCTCAAATAATGGGATCAAACGAGGGCTAAATCTAAAAAATAATCAAATGCTTTTAAAAATTCTAATATTTCTAAAAATTAAAGTACTTTATAATGAGGATCCATTAGTCCAATAGCACATCCATCCACCACCGTTCTGTATGTTAATTTTCACCTGAAGTTTGTAAATGAGGGACGAGTATAACGAATTATACCCAATGAGATGCTTGCTACTCCACATTCAAATCAAACATGCTCTTACCAGCATAAAATGAGAATTATCACACCATGAAAAATAATAATTCTAGCAAGCGCTGCAAAATAACGTGAAGGCTAACTGATACCTGAAGGTACGCCTTAAATTGTATCATGATTTCTCCCGAAGGAGCTTTGAACTGAAGTAATTAAATTCATGCATAACAACGTATTTGAAAAGATGTGGACAAACCAGTAATAGCACTGAGCAACTCACCTTTTGAAGATAAATGTGGAAAACAAAATTGTAGAAAATGAGATTCTTTATTTCAAATCCAAAGACTTAATATGTTCTACCTTTTTCTTTCCAAAATCTGTATTTTTATGTATAATAAAGGAGGAGAGAGGGAGAGAGAGAGAGAGAACAGCTACTGGGTAATTTGCTGGAGAAAAATTGGTGTGAGACAGCAAGGCAATATCATGCCTTTATATAGTAGTTCGGATTGAAGTCTTTCAAAGGGTTTAGGACTTTTAGTTAACTCTATCAAATCAAAAGTGATTAGTTTTAAATTTGAATTAATATTAGATTATGTTATTAATATTGATAATGTATAAATATTAAAGTCTCCTAGAATTGAACAACTAGTATTTTATTACTCAATCATATGTCGCTTATATAGTGACATTGACATGCAAAGAGAAGAAAATGTGTCCTACCTTAGTTGTATTTGAAGTATTCTGATTGAGATTGATTATTGATACTGGTGTTTAGTTATAGGTTTAACTAATTAGAATAATAAAAATATAAACTCCATTCTTATCCAAATACACGCAGGTTTAAACTAATCAATATTCATTTCATAATTATCCATACTTAAACTAGGCCCCTGTTTGTTTCTCCCCTTTTTACCCATTTTAGAAGAATTAGGACCGTTGCACAGTGCCACCGCCACCATTGTTGACTTGTTTATCTCTTGATGGGTCCCACAACTTTGAATATAACGGTAACAATTCTCATTTTTATGCTGAAATGGTGAGAAACAAACAGACGCTAGATAAGTTTTTCTAAAACTGTTATTGGCTGAAAAAACTGTTTTAAGGTAAGGTTATTAATTATTTAGAATTTCGTTTATACGTTGTTTTTATTATCGATCCTAATTTAATTCGAGCCTATCAAAAATATATTTCTCGAACCTAATATACATGATTATTTACTACCTATCAAACGAGTCCAATACTGTTATAGTAATTTAGTCTAAATCGATAACTAATATTATTAATTGAGTAGTTTTCTTAATTGGCTCTAACTCGAGCTTGGCTTATCCAAAATAATTTTTTATATTCCATAATTCGCAATTTATCGCAAGCTTCAAAATAGGCCTAATATTGATATGGTAATTCTAACTTCTTAAATAGTTAACTGTTTGGCCCAATTAAATAAAAGTATAAAATTAAATACTTATTTTCACTTTAGTCCCTCAACTATTAAGGAAAAATCATACATATATATCTATTTAACTATTGGGCATAACAAATTAACTTGCATAACGATTTGACTAGACATGGCATTTCTATCAATTGGCAAATTAATTATATGCAACGCAACTCGTAAAATTTTGGGGTTCTACATTTTTTGTTGATGATAATATTAGTTGGTCACTTGGACTTTTTCATGGAAACACAGGGCAAATTGTGACAATATTTTTAGAAATTAACAAGCCAGGCTCTACTTTTTCTTCATAGGTTCTGCTTAAATAGATCTGGAACCTATTATGCAAGGAATTTAGTCATAAGAAAATTACTGGCTGATATTATTTGATCTTGACTAACTTTCACACTGTTTTCTCTTTATGGTTTGACAAATCATGTCAAATCATAATACCCACTGGTGTTTACGTAGATTGTTTTATTTTGTATTGTCTGATACTTGTATAGTAGATGCATCTTAGTTTGAAATGTGAGTGAAATCACATATCTATGTCGTTCTCTTTGTCAATAATCTCTTTTGCATCTTTGGGGATTACACTGAACTACATGTAATCCTCTGCCCCCTTTGCCTCCACAGAAACGATATACGTAAGAGTTTATGAATCAAGGATGGATCTCTTGAGGGCTGTTATTATTGGACCACCAGGCACTCCGTACCATGATGGTCTATTTGTGTTTGATGTTCTGTTCCCTCCTACCTATCCAGACATACCACCAGTATGTATTTCAAGAGGACAGCTTTGTCTTAAATGCTACTTTTTGCTTCGTTTGGTATTTGAAACACATTTATTGTCCACTGATTTTTGAAATGATCCTTGATAGATGGTTTACTACTATTCTGGTGGCTTGAGACTAAACCCAAACTTGTACGACTGTGGAAAAGTCTGTCTCAGCCTTCTTAACACTTGGACTGGTCAAGGAAATGAGAAGTGGGTGCCAAATTCATCAACAATGCTGCAGGTCTTGGTGTCTATTCAAGCTCTTATTTTGAATGCTAAGCCCTTTTTCAACGAGCCAGGGTATGAATCGAGATATGTTGGGGCAGAGGGAGAGAGGAAAGCCAGGTCATACAATGAGGATGTATTTGTCCTATCCTTGAAAACGATGGTGTACACTCTTAGGAGGCCACCAAAGGTATGATTCAAGACTCCTTGTCAACAACATTCTCATTTTAGTTCAGCATGGCCACTTTTGAATGAGGTGATGTTTATTTTGTTTCATGTAATGGCCAATTACTTTTATCAACTTAGGAGCAAATGCTTTTTGTAGGTCAACATCGGGAATTAAGCTGCCTTAGTGAAACTTTTGGATTCATTTCTCTTAATGAAAAAGTTTTCTTCTGTAGAGTCGGCGCATTTCAGTTCCCTTACCTTGAAGTTTACAAATACCCTTCTTTTTTTAAATTCAACTCTTTAACAGTTTAAACTTTTAGATTATGTGGTTTTAGATTAGGTGGTTGGGTTTGTGTCCAAGTCTCGTCTCCACCCATTTGTAAAGAATTGTATCAAAGCAGGCTAAAGATCTGGGTTCGAATTTCATCATCACCCATTAATGGAAATTGTGCACATGTCAAATCTTTGATAAAACAAAAGTTCACTTGCATGTGAGGGAGTGTGTTGAAGATAAACTTTAAATGAATAAAAATGTCCCTTTTTCTAACGGTTAAAACATTTAGGCGACGTAGTTCAGCATTGGGAATTAGTAGATATGTTTGATGCTTAATCAAAAGATGTATATTTTGAGTTGCGTCTCTTTGTTTCACCTTGAGTATTATTTATGATCTACTAGTCCACAAGTGATGGCTTATGGTACATATCCATTCTTCTCCTACATGTTTTTTCTCCGGGTGCTGTCCGTTGAATCTAATAGGCTCCTGTTATTTAAAATGACTGATACCATCACTTCTAATCCTAGAAATTCTGTAGGTGCTTGGTTAATCTTCCTTCTAAGACGTTAGCAAAACCTCAGAGTGTCTATTTGATCATAAAATGATTTTGTTTGGGTTTCATTTTTTCCCCCTTAAATTTTTTTAACCGCACATTTCGAAGGATCCACAAGTACTACCCACTGGTCCACCACTCATTTCATGAAGAGTAAAGTTTTAGCCAAATTTGATGAAATCCAAACAAAGGCTATATATATCCTGAATATCAGAAGTCAAGCTAAGGATTTGGAAAAGTACTGTTTGGCCATGAAGCCTTGTTCTCAATAATTTAGGATCAGCTACACGAATCCTTTTTTACCGTTCCGTTTGGATCTTTGCTAGAATTACTGGGATCCCCATATCCTCTGCAACTAAACAGGCTATATCAGTTTTGGTCTCTTCCTCCCTCTTCAACTTGCTAATTTGCAAATTTGAACCTTGATTGCATGCTATGCTGTTATGCATATTTGCACACTGTGTTACCCCTTCTATGACAAGATTTTTATTTTTGAGGTCTTATTTTTCGAATGTTCATATGGTTGCAGCACTTCGAGGATTTAGTGACAGGCCATTTCCGTTCTCACGCACATGATATTCTTTCGGCATGTAGAGCATACATGGGGGGTGCAGTAGTTGGTTCCGTGGTCAAGGGAAAGATCCTGGATGGTAGCAAAAAGAGCACCTCCTCAGAGTTCGCGGCTTCTATAAGAAGAATGATAAATGGTCTCATTTCAAACTTCACAAAGATTGGTGCAGAAGACTGTGAGCAGTTTCGCTGTTCTTGATAATAGTTTCTCCTGTGGGTCTTAAAATAACGCGTGTGGGGAGGAGGATGGTAACTTGACTTGTCAATGCCTTCATCTATGTCGATTTTATGGTTTTTTATTGGCATTTTAGTACAAAATGACTCACTTTACTGACTTTGAGATCCCAAATGTGTAAATATGTTAGGATGGTATAGGCTTGAGGACAAGTCTTCCTGCTGGATATGGTTCTTTGCCTTGCATTTCTGACTAAATCGTCCAGTACTTTTTCGTATGCTTGGAGCAATGAATAACAGCATTCTTATCTTGTTTGATTGTTACTAATCACAAATTCACAATGCCATATAGAAATGCACTAATGAGTAATAACATGCATGGTTTGGTTGAATTGTTCGACATATTGCTTCAAATGCTCGTCTTCTTTACAGCTTGTTTGTCTACCATTATGGGGAGGAAAATGATGTAATGAATAGTATTTTTTGGAGAATGTGTGGTTGAAATTGAAAGAAACTTTATCGGTTTATGTGTAGAATATTTTATTATTTGAATGTGTGGTAGAGATTGGTTACTGTAGAAAACAATTTTTTGAAAAATGGTAGATTTATTGATTTATGTATAAAATATTTTATTGGGTGAATATGTGGTGGAGATTGTTTACTGCAGAAAACAATTTTTGGGAAAATGGTAGACAAACAGGGGCTTAATATAATATACTAGCACGTCATAACAGGAGTAGACGGTGCGTGAAAATTCAGTTGTTAATACTCATTAGCGAAGAGATTTTATATTTTATTTATTTGAATAATTAAATATGAAACTACGAAATAAATCACTCAAATCTCGGGGTAGGCTTTTAGCTTAAAGCAAGAGAAATGAACTTTGGGATTTCCCTTGTATGTAATTGCCAAAATTGGTGTTTTTGAACTCAAAGTACAAAGATTGGATTTTGTCACATTCATAGCAAGCGACGGAAATATTTCTCTTCCTTAGTCGTTCTCAATCCAACATGCCATACTTTACATCTGTCACGTCATTTCAAACCCGCATTTCTGCCCATGGAAATGAATGAGAAAGGAGATCTTGCTCAAGTCACCTCAAGCGACCTGGTATCAGAGAGAGCCCAAGTTCCAGCTCCATCTGTTCGGTGGATTTGATTATGAGGCCGATTACAACTGCATAAATGCAGTAAAAATAATGCTATTATATTCGGTGGATTTGATTATGAGGCCGATTACAACTGCATAAATGCAGTAAAAATAATGCTATTATATAAAGTCTAAATAATCATTGATCTATGTGAAGTAAAATCACTGACAAATTGTCCAATGAAGTTTGAATATATTTTTATGCATTTTTACACATTGAGTAATGTGACAATGATCTCACTGTCACTATCATATAAATTGATGATCATTTAGAGTTTAGATGAATACTATTATTCTTCTAGTTAAGTTATATATGAAATTATTGTGGAGGTCGAGAGATGAACCTGCATGACATTTTCTAACCTTCAAGCCCCAACTAGAGATGAAATTCTATAACCTAAACAACTCAATTGAGAGCTCCGTGACCAAAAAAGGGAAGATCCAGCATACTTTGGGAATTTCTATTTATCAATAGACTAAACACTGAATAGACACAAGATTTATAGTTTGTAATCCTTTCTAAATGCCACTGTCCCAACAATTATGATTTTGAATTCAATGTTGAATACATATGCCTCTGAAAGTGTATTGCAAACTCAAGACTGGATCCCTTTACATTTTCCATCCACAAAATGCACATAGAAACCGCCACTACCATTAGAAACTGCCACAGTTAGGACACAATACCACCCGAAAGAGTTGTAGCCCAGCAGAAGAATGAGTCCATAATAATGGTTCTGAGTAATAGAAGGTTGTAGTAGAAAAGAACCTGTAGGGGTTCCTCTTCAACAATTCAGAAAAAATTCTGGTATAAAATATATGCATTGGTCCAGAAAATGCAGTGGAACCAATTTCTTTCCTTAGGTGATGCAAAAGCAGCAACGATGGAAATCTCTGAAACTGCTAAAGCATCTCCTGACTACTTATTTCGTCCTTTTTCTTGTTGGAGGAACCTATTATAATTTCAAAACAAAAGCATCAATTAGAGCCAATAGAGACTAATTAATTCAGCAGCCAACTTAAAATATATTAGATGACATATTGTTCCACCTTGCACACAATTGTTTGATTATAAGTTTGTATCAAATGTAAAAACATAAGCATACGAGTAATTCTTAACCACCACCACCCTACCGGTAGTGGGTCTATGTTAGAAAAAGATGACACGAAGAATATGGTTCCAATATGTCCTTGAATTCAGCTATGTCCAAGAACATGAGGTGATTAATATTTGCTTAGGTCAAGAAAGGCTGTGAAAATCTCAAAGAATTCCCCAGGAAGTCGTAACCGTAAAAATAAAGCAAAAATGGCTTTCAAGAAATTACCTGCAAGGATAAGAAATATACCAAGTTTAGGGGGAGGAGCACTCCGTTTTTCCCAGCTCAGCGCTCAACATATGGTGGAGAAGCATATCAACTCTCTGACTCCTCGTCTTCGTGCTGCGAAAATTGGGGGAAAACAGGAAAATGTTGATTCGGATTAAGCTTCATTATAAATTTATAAAGGGATATTTCTGAGAAGTATCAAGTCAATTACACATACATACCCCACATTACGTCGTCGTCGCTCCTTTTGATTTTCATCCTGGATTGTGAAGGAATACAGGTTGATTTAGTGGTGCTTACATATCAATTCAAAATAAAAAATATGGACATGAATGGCTGTAAGGTAAATCATATATACAAATCCATGAATTATGGGCCGAATAACAAACCCACATACATGAATGTGCTTCTTTCCAAGCTACAGCAACACAGAGCTCAATCAGCTTCAAAAATTTGTTTACTCCAGCAAACCCATAATTTAAAATAGGGATGCTAACACTTTATGTAGAATTATCATAAAAAATGAATATGATTGCATCACATAATATTCTACAGATTAACATATGAAATGTTACTGGAAATTGGAATCATTCTTTTCCATTGGGGACTTGGAGATGATAAATAAACTGTGCTACCTATTACTTTCCCATATGTAAGTACTCACACAGAATGCATTATCTGAATATGGACAAGAATCTTGAAAAGGTGAACAGGTAGGATGAAATTTCTTTAGAGAAGCTAAATTAATTATGATTTCTTTTTTACATATAGAGCATGTCTGGCTAAGCTTAAAAGGTGCTTATTATATACTTACAACAAAAATAAGCACCTTGTAAGATTAGCTTAGCTAAATATGAAAATAATCTGGATCATTTGCATTTCTGAGATACTTCCTTCCAAGTAGAAGACACAATCTATAATGCACTTGAAGAGATTAAATAAATGACTTATTTCTCTCTCACAACTTAAGATTAAAAAATTAGGCGTTCAATTAACACTGTATCAAAGCTACACTTAAAAAAAAATATTGGACAAGTCATGTTTATATAGGTTTCATCAATTTATACACTTCCCTTGTTGCCGTGACTGCATCTTTTTTCTGTTCCTTGATTGAGCCAAAGTGCCTTTTAATTGATTGACCTCTTCACGTACAAATGGGAGTTTCATGGGCAAGGAGTATTGCCCAGCTTGGCCACACAGAAAAAATTATAACCTCCCAAATGAGCACGTGTCTGGTGATCTTTCATCTAATTATTAGTGGGTTTTATTTATAAATCCACAAGCTTAATTATGAGTATTTTATTATGGTATAAGATCTTGGTCTGCATGAACCACATGAGACTTAAAATACAATTCTTAGGTAGTGATAACTAAATGGGATATACTCTTAACAAACACTAAATGGACTCCACACGGCTAAACTATCACTTGTTTCTTTGACCACAATAGAAACTCACAAATTCTTCACTAACCTTGCCAATTGCATCTTCACATTTCTCAGAAGTTTCAAGATCCATTTCAGCGAAGAAAGCCTCCAATACAAATGCCACAACCTGAAATGATATTTTCGAAAAGATTATGAAGTTATTTTTCACAATATTGACAGAAAGGGACTCAGTAAAACAAGATAGAATGAATTTCAATAATTCCTGAAAAGGTCTGACAAACAAAACACTTCAAAATAATAAATAAATGGTGATGAATTTGAAACTCAAGTATCTCAGTTTAAGTCTCTTGATTTCAGCTTTACTATTTGTTTTGGCAATCTAACAAGGAAATCTTCACTAACTAACAATAACCATTTGAGATCACAGAAGAAAAAAATCTCCTCTGCCTGTTCCCACTTTTCTCTAAGGGAAAAAATTTGAACGGAAGGGTCCTTCCAAAAGAAATAATAAAATCCTTTCCCCTTCTAAATGTTTGCACTATTAGATAATTATCATGAAGAAATGTCTAAAATTCAAACTAAAGACAAATTATCATTATACTTTTAACTCAGCTAACTCAATAAGACAAATTAGCTTAAATGAGTGTCCATGACTAAATAACGAAATACACGTGGATATCCATTAAATGAAATCTAGAACTCCCATGCTAGTCCTGTAATTTGTTTAATCCATATTACAACGAGGCAAATGATGCTTGTTAACATTTCTCATCTTTTTATTTTTATAACACCTGCACCCGAATTTCTGGGTCTAATTATGAGAATTGAAAATTTAGGGGCTCAGTTGAAGGTTAATCCATCTTCTAGGACCTTGTAGCAAACTTAGTATAAATGCTAATTCTCACACGTTTTGCTTTTTGAAGAAGGGTTGAGTGCTTGGTCAAACCCTTATATAGAAATCCTTGATGCTTTTTTTTGTCATATTCATGATTGACTAAACATAGGGTAATGTGTAGTGTGAATACATGTGTATATAGAATATAGTATTCATGTGAGAAATGACAGAGAGATTCTTGCTCATTTCACAAATTTCAAGGAATAATTTTCAATGCTAGAATTAATAGCCTTTCCACCATCATGGGTTTTTCCTTAATGATGCATGCC